CTCGGCAGTGAGGAAAACGGCGGGGGAGATGTCCAGAGTGGCGTGCCGATGTTCTCTCACCAAAAAACTGTGACCCTCAAAAAATATGGAGTGGATTTCAGACCTGGTGCCCAGGCCAATGACATACCAATAGACAGGCCTCTTCTCACACAGCTTGAGATCTGCAGGTAGGGAAAAGGACAACCTTGTTGGCAAGATGGCTCAAGACAAAGTGTGGTTGAGATGCAGGAGTGGAAAATTCCAACTTTGTGTTTTCAAACCAAGGAAGGAATCTGAAATTCAAATTAGCATTCAAAGCTTGCCCTTCACAGAATTCTGCCCTGCAATTGGCTAATACTGTATAATAATGACAACCAATAGTGATATAAATATATTGGGAAGCCATGCATATAATTCATAGAAATCGTGTAGCAAAATGCATTATGTTAGGGCAAATGTAGTTACAAATGAAAAATATGTGTGTTGGGAGAAATATAAATGAATGCATACTTTGGGCATAGTTTTAAAAATAAATGTTCCAGAGTAATAAACTAAACTCGACAGACACAAAAATGAAGAATGGAAAGCAACTTTGAGAGAGTCTTCTTTCCTTATTAGTTATTCATTCATTCCACTTCTAGTTCATTCAGTTTTTTCATTATTGAGTGACATGATCTGGGTGGTTCTTTGATAGATCCCAGAGAAGTCTTCCTTTAGTTTCTGGGAGACAGTTACACCAGACAGACAAAGACCAAGAAACTTTTCAAGTTCTGAGAAAGAGAGATATACCACATTTTCATCTTTATATATTTCTCCCTAAACACCACTATTTTGACAGCCGGTCTATCAGAACACCCGGTCTACAAAGCAATCTACTTATTGCTTTTAGCCCCAATCTAGGAGCGTTTTTTATCATACAGGCAGACACTACTGCGACAAACTATTTTGTGTTAAATTTAGATTTTGCCAACAAAGAGTTAAAGGGAGACTAGTATAGCTATTTCGAGCTATTTAGCTCTCATCAGCTAGCCACAACTTTCTGAGATTCGAACCTGGGCTGCTTGCATGTTAACCTAGCTGCCTAACATCCTATATCCTATCCTACATCCTATCTCCAATGTCATGTGTTAGTTGACATGTTTCATAAAAAGTGCTGTCCTTTTTTGCCACACTCTTACCAGGCAGAGAAGAATGAATGAACCCATTGATGGTGTGAAATTGATGCTGAGTCAACGGAGACTTTGAGTTTCCTCTGATGTGAGAATGAGAGTACCAGCTTTTGTCTGATGGAGACGTTGAAGAGAGAGAGAAAAGGATGCAAGTGGTAGAGTTTAATTCAAGGAACTCCAAATCATCAAGAAAAGAGCCCACCCTTATCCACTGTTTCAGTCCTACAGGCCCATTATAGGAAAAGCAGAATTAGACATTGAGGCTAAACGTTTTCAGGTGGAACCTATAATCAGTTTCCTACTGCTGCAGAGGAGATTATTTGGGAAGACAACCTAGTCCTCAGGACAATTTGACCGTAATCATGTAATTTGTATCCTGTCTTTCGGTCCAGTTCTGCCCCCTTATGTAGTCTACAAGCCAAACTAAACAAAAATAAAAATGAATTCTCTTGGAATTGGCTAAATTAGATAGCACAGTGTGCAAATAATCAAGGGGTGTAATCTAGAACATTGGTTGGACATGAAGAATTAAACCCATTAGGAACAAGCAAAGCTTAAATCCTACGGAAAGGTGTATTGACTGCCGATGATTTTATTCAACAGAATAAAGACACACGTACAAGGCGAGCACAACCATGCCCCTTTCTCTCTTCCCTCCCCATTCTTCTCTTACCTTCATCAAATACAGAAAACAGCAGCACAAATTCTTGTATTTTGCCCCCGGATTTTATACTCATCAACGCTCCTGCAGAGGAGAAACTCCATAGAACCATCAAAACAAAATGGCAGAAAGACTTCCTACAGATGTTAAGCAGATGACAATTTTCTAAACTGGAGCAAAACAGGAATCCTGAAATGTCTGAATTGTCTACTATATCATCTGAATGATCATCCATGTTATACTCAGGTAGCTAGGCGTTGGAAGGACTTACTGTACGAGTTCATGGAGTAGTTTTAAATCACCTTCTATTTCTCAGTCCTGACACATTCTTTGCTCCTATCATAACACCTGTGCAATAGAGATATTTTTTTCTAATTTCGTAGTGCTGTTATAACCAAATCAGGCATGCGGATATTTTACTGAGATAATATATGGGATTCAACTGGAATGTTTCAGAAAAATGCTGCCTAAATGCCAGGTGTTATGATAGGAGCATATTTGGAATATCATACAAAAGACTGCACAGCTATCTCGCTTTTCTAGTAGAAAAAGCATAAACAAGATTTTTAAAATACCCACACTGGATCTGCAAGTGAATCTGGTATGAATATATGGACTAAAATCACAAAGAATACTGAAAGAATGCTAGCAGGTCCTTATGAATCTGAAAAAAAAAAACCTGGAGTGTGGATAAGAAGTTCTCAAGAGGATGGTTCTACTTCTACCACCTGATCTTACCTGGCTTACAGACCAGCAGTGGTCCAATCAATCCAGAGTTAATATCCCTGACGCTGTCCACATGAGAGGAGTAGGCATAAGTTAAGCAGTGTGTATCCGATCCAGTTGGCCCTTGATCTTCTAAGATCTCCCACACATAGACATGAGTGTGATCAGGTTCTACAGCATCATCTTTTTTCTCTAGCTGGCTGGTCCAATCATCATAGCCTGCCCCTGAAAACACATAAGCACTGTCATCAATGACTATGAAGGTTGAGGTCACACAACACACTAAGCCCAAACCATCCAAGCTACACTGTCGCTAGATCCAAACGCTGAAGCTGATTGTACTCTTTGCGCTGGTTCTTGAGTTTAGCAAGCTTTGGAAATAATTTGAAGAGCCTGCAAGATGGACAGTAGGGCTGACACTCTCACCTTCAGAAGATTTCCAATAAGATACTCCTTTAGCATGGATATTGAAGGGACGGGAAGCCATATTCTTAAAGGTCACAACCACCTTGTCATAGACTTCGGCTTGGACGATGGGGCCCAAAAGACCTAATGAAAAGAAGAAAAATGGGTACAGGCTCAACCCTTAAGTTGAGCAGTAACAATTCCAAGGATAAGTTTGAATTTCTTTGGGTGAAAGTGAGCAGTTCTTTCTTTATTTGCAAATATTTGAAACTTTTGTTCGATGCACCCACCACAATCACAGGCTCATGACTACTGTTACATCACCTGCTCTTTGATCCTCTTCTCCTGTAATAAATCTTCCTCAAGTACATACCTAGTGTGTTTCCATTTATAAACCTAGATAAACAAGGCAAACGTGATCTTCCACCCTTCTCTTGATCGTTTAACTACCAATGTTGGTAAGCAAATATGCATTATAAATGGAGCGGATTTGTTGTTTGTTATTTCATTGTTTTTAATGTGTGAAAACACACTGGTAAATAAAGCTGAACCTACTGTAGCTGTTTCACTAACAATTATCAAGACGTTCTGCCTACCTCTTCCCAGTTAGTAAATAAGATAATGTATTTTGCACCAATTCTAGCTCCTGAACAGTCTTCTAAGATAGTTGTGTGGACTCCGTATTACAGCAGTCAATCCACCCGAGACATTTTTCAGTGCAGGAATAACTCCATTAAAGACTCCCGAATTTTGCTGAGAAGGGTACCAATCTTATAAGTAAAAAAGACTCCTTAGCTTACCCATCCAAGCAGGCTTCGGTTTTACTTCTCTGAATGTAGAATCTGTATATTCCAGATAAATTGCCTTCTTATATTGAGGGCCTGGGGTGGAAGAAGACAACCTAAGAAATTAAAAAGAGTTAGTCAAAGAAGAAAGTTGAGTTCAAAAAGGCTGGTGTCTGCATTTTCAAATCCTGCATTGTTGATCAGCAGGGTTAGGAGGACTTCAACTCCAATAATCCTCACCCACCAGGACAAAATGGCCCCAGGCTTGGAGTGTGTGTGTGTGTATGTGTGGGGAGGGGGTATACCAGGTTGGGGAGGGTTGAAAAGACTGGAAAGAGAAAAATGAGAAATGTGATGTGCAGCACAAAGTTGTATCAAAGCAACATCTCTTTCATATTGTTTTGTCTGCTTTCTGCTCCATGGTCACAATCCTGCAGTTTTCCTGGCAATGATAGGGAAATATTTTGCTGTCTTCTGGGCTGCTTCCTTGCCTCCACTTCATCCAGATTCACGGGTGTTTGATTCAAGAACTAACAAGGCTGATTCCAGATTTATTTTTCTAAAACTAGCCCAGGTCAGCTAGGTGCCACTACCTGCAGTGAGGTGCAAATATAGGATATCTCAAATTTAGGACTTGCAAATAGGTTTTGCAACCACGCTCTGTCGATACTATTGGGGCATTTAGCAAAATATTCCAGTTTTGAGGGCTCTCCTTTTATCTCCCCTGTAATCTCCAGTCCATTTGTCCCATTGCCTCAAGAACCCTGACTGTTTCAGGGGCATGGTTCTGAGCGTTCCACGCCAAGGGCCGATGACCAGGTGAATCACTTCAGCCAAATACATTTTTTTAATGAGGGTGTTTTTTTGTGCTCTCTGAGCTTCGTTGTTTTCTTGAAGACGTTTCATTACCCAGACTAGGTAATTACGCAACTAGTAGTCAGAAGACTTGATGAAAACTCCCCATCAGCAATCAGCACCCAGATGAGCAGAGATTAACTCCAAGATTAACATCAGACTGACATTCAAGTAAACAACACCCCAATCAAGGAACTTCCAAACAAGCAAACAGTAAGCAGCCCTCCAAGACCACTCCCACCAACATTGACAGGGCAAGCCACTAGAATATAAACAGAGAGTAAACCCCATTCCTTACTAGCACTGATAATGTTATCTAGTTGGGTAATGAAATGTCTGCAAGAAAACAACCATGATCAGAGAGCACCAAGGACCCCATAATTATTCTCCTCCTCCTCCTCCTCCTCCTCCTCCTCCTCCTCCATAAACCCCACTCCCTTCTAGCATTGATGATGTTACCTAGTTTGGATAATGAAATGTCTGCAAGAAAACAACCGAGATCAGAGAGCACCTAGGACCCCACAATTATCCTCCCTTTCCTCCTCCTCCTCCTCCTCCTCCTCCTCCTCCNCTCCTCCTCCTCCTCCTCCTCCTCCTCCTCCTCTCCACAAACCCCACTGCCTTCTAGCAATAATGATGTTACTTAGTTTGGATAATAAAATGTCTGCAAGAAAACCACCAAGCTCAGAGAGTACCAAGGAACCCACAATCCTCCTCCTCCTCCTCCTCCTCCTCCTCCTCCTCCTCCTCCTCCGAGAGCACCAAGGAACTCTCATTTCAACCCTGGGCTACAAATCTTCTCTTTTATTGATACTTTTAAAAATATACTTTCTAACATTTCTCCAAAGTTGAGGTAGGATTTCATCACGCTCTGCTTTCCAGCATATGTTTTACACGGGAGTGCATGTATGAGGGAAGCAGATAACAGAGCCTAGCCTGACTACCTTGTTACTACTAGTGCTGGAAACTTTGGAGGGCACCAGCTATCAGAGGTCAGACATCCATGCCTGCTAAGAACAGACTTGGCCAGCAGGCAGGTTTCCAAGAGTTTCTCTCTAGGATGACTCAGACCAGCCAAGGAAATCCGGGCGCTAGGAGCAACTGCAAAACAAATCAAAGAGAGCCGTGGCTTTTGATGTTCATTTCAGTGCAGGGAGAACCAGTTTGGTGTAGTGGTTAAGGCATCAGGTTAGAAACCAAAAGACTTTGAGTTCTAGTTCTGCCTCAGCTAGGTGTCTTTGGGCCAGTCACTTCCTCTGAAGAAAGAGGGCAAGGACAGACCACTTCTGAGAAGGCCTGCCTATACCATTTTGGACAAATGGCTGTCCAGTCTCTTCTTAAAAACTTCCAGGGTTGGAGCATTCACTGCTTCTGAAGGCAGGTTGTTCCACTGGTTAATTGTTCTAACTGTCAGGAAGTTTCTCCTTAGTTCTAGGTTGCTTCTCTCCTTGATTAGTTTCCATCCGTTGCTTCTTATCCTGCCTTCAGGCACTTTGGAGAAGAGCTTGACTCCCTCTTCTTTGGGGCAGCCCCTGAGATATTGGAACCCTGCTATCATGTCCCCCCTCGTCCTTCTCTTCATTAAACTAGACATGTCCAATTCCAGCAACCGTTCCTTGTTATGTTTTAGCCTCCAGTCCCCTAATCATCTTTGTTGCTCTTCTCTGTACTCTTTCTAGAATCTCAACATCTTTTTTACATCACGGTGACCAAAACTGGATGCAGTATTCCAAGTGTGGCCTTACCAAGGCATTGTAAAGTGGTATTAACTCTTCATGTGATCTTGATTCTATCCCTCTGTTAATGCAGCCTAGCACTGTGTTGGCCTTTTTGGCAGCTGCCGCACACGGCTGGCTCATATTTAGGTGATTGTCTACTAGGACTCCGAGGTCCCTCTCACAGTTACTACTATTGAGCAAGGTGCCGCCTATGCTGTACTTGTGCATTTGGTTTTTCTTGCCTAAATGTAGATCCTTGCTTTTTTCACCATTGAATTTCATTTTGCTAGATAGTGCCCAGTGTTCAAGTCTGTCCAAATCCTTCTGTATCTTAAGCCTGTCTTCTGGAATGTTGGCTATTCAACCCAATTGAATGGGGAGGGGAAAAAAAATCAGTCCAGGTATCTTAGAAGTAAACTCTACTGCCTGCCTTCCTCCCCACCCCAGAAGATGTAGTCCTGCATGAAACAAAAGGATCTCCTCGTTTGAGCATTTAGGAACAAGGCCACGTTTAATTTGAGCAGCACCACAAGAGCATCACGAGAAAGGTAGACCAGAGTCAAAAGAACAAGGATGAAGGAGGACAGATCTCAAAGCGCCCACTTAAGACTTTACAAAGTTAAAAAAAAAGTAGTCATCTTAGAAAAAGCCAAATGGCAAAGAGAGAACATTTGGAGGGGGGGGATTGGAACATTTGGCAGGACTTGGTGTCGTCGGTCTGCAAAATTCCGTGTCCGAGGCCAGAAATAACATTGCATGCCATTGTGCTCCAGCTCTCCATCACAATTGGGTCTTCGCTGGCTAGGAAATGGAACAGTGTGACCTTTGGGGAGAAGAAGAACTGAGCCCTGGAGGAGAAAGCCCTTGGCAGTTTGGGGACAATCTGTTGGAGAAAAGTCTTGCAATGTTTCTTGGGAAAAGAGGACCATGGTTTGCAGTGATGCCATAAAATTATCTGTTTTCTTAAATAATAGTTTCCCTTTTTCTGCAGCTACATCATGCTATCTCTTTTCCACCGTGCTGCAGAAGGCATTGATGTTGTTGTGCAGGGATGACCGCAACGGAGCCCAAAATTTCTGCTAAGTGAGACAATTCTTAAGTGAGTTTTGCCCCCATTTTATGACCTTTCTGGCCACAGTTGTTAAGTGAATCGCTGCAGTTATTAAGTTAGTGACACGGTTGTGAAGTGAATCTGGCTTCCCCCATTGACTTTGCTCGTCAGAAGATCGCAAAAGGGGATCACGTGACCCCGGGACGCTGCGACCGTCATAAATACGAGTTAGTTGCCAAGTGTCTGAATTTTGATCAGGTGACCCTGGAGCTGCTGCAACGGATGTAAGTGTGAAAAACCGTCATAAGTCACTTTTTTCAATGCTGTTGTAACTTCGAACGGTCACTAAAAGAACTGTTATAAGTTGAGGACTACCTGGATTCAATATAATAAATAATACTTCTTCAATGTTTGGGTAGTATTTCAGTTGGTCCAAAGCTATTATCCTTTTATAATAACAACTACTACTACTACTACTACTACTACTACTACTATTGTAACATTACTGCAGCTTCCTGCAATAACTCCAGCAATGTTACAAAAAACTGCGCTACTCGGAACATCTTACATTTTAAGGAGGTACCTGGTTGATACCTAGGATGCTGGTAGCAACCCGTGTCAACCATCAGCGCCAGCCAATTTGAATGTTCAGTTGACTGAGGTTCATGTTTAATGAATAAAAGATAATAATAATAATAATAATAATAATAATAACAACAACAACAACAACAACAATAATAGTTGGAAGGGACCTTGGAGGTCATTTAGTCCAACCCCCTGCTCAGGCAGGAAACCCTATACCACTTCAAACAAATGGCTGTCCAGTCTCTTCTTAAAAACTTCCAGTATTTTATAGCATTTTATAGGTTGATTTCTCACCCCTCTTCTCAAAGAACAGCTATCCCTTAGTTCTCTTTAATTTAATTACTCATTTTATAATCTAGAACTAAGGAGAAACTTCCTGACAGTGAGAACAATTAACCAGTGGAACAACCTGCCTCCAGAAGCGGTGAATGCTCCAACACTGGAAGTTTTTAAGAAGAGACTGGACAGCCATTTGTCCGAAATGGTATAGGGTTTCCTGCCTGAGCAGGGGGTTGGACTAGATGACCTTCAAGTTCCCTTCCAACTTTACT